CGAGGTCATTGCCCACGGCCTGATCATGGTGTGAACCGCCAAAAGAAAGAAAGCGAAAGAACGAGAAAAACAAAGCGAAAGAGAAAGAACGAAAACGAAGAGGTGTGAGTCGATGGCGCGGGTCAGGAAGGAAAGGAATGCTTGGTATGAAGCTATGAGGCGGCGCGTACCTCCTGCTCGACGTGCAGGATCTGAAGGTGTGCGGGAATGCCAGCGAGCTCTCTGTCGGCGATTGCTCGCAGGAGGGTGGTCTTGCCCATTCCGTTGCGGCCCACCAGACCGTAGCGCCTGCACCACACGTAATGCGATCATACGTGTGAGCTCACACGCCTCGGCGCTCGCGACACACACGCATGGGTGAAGCTCAGGTACCTGCCGTAGAGGAGGGTGATCCCGCCATCGGTGATGAGCACGCGGCTGCCCATGGAGATGTCGAACTTGGTGAGGTGGAGGTCCTTGACCAGCGAGCGGTCGGAGGAGCGGCGCGAGGGGGTGATGAAGGCCTGGTCGCGCTTGGCCAGCTGCTTCTCGCGCTGACGCCTCATCTCGGCCTGCAGCTCGCGCTTCTTCTTCTCCTCGCGCTTGTTGCGCTTGCGCTCGGCCTCGTCCGACCGATCGACGAACTCGGTCTTGGCGTTCTTGTTGCGGCCCAGCTTGGGCTGGTACACGAACAGCGACATCTGGGCCTCCTCTCCCTGCGGGATGGCATTGCCAATCGTGATAGGCGCGTCCAGCAGCCGCAGCGGCGCTTCCCTGTGTGCCTGTGGGAGGTGTAAATCAATAAACAAATGAATAAATATCATAACACAAATAAATGGTACTTGCAAAAAGAGATTATCGTAATAAACAAGAATAACAAGAATAATAAGGAATACACGGCATAAATAAAAATATAAATAATTTAGGCCTGGCGCACCTCCTTGACGTTGCCAGTACCGAACATGAGCGAGTGCATCTTGGTGCAGATGTCGTCCAATTCGGTTTCGGATTCGATGGTGTCGGCCAGGAGAGGGGCCACCGCGTCCTTGAACGTTTCGCCATCACTGGCGGTGTAGTCGGCCAAAATGCCTGCGCACGTGGCGAGTGAGTGAGATTTGATGAATGAAGGCTGCATGTACAGAGAAGAGCGAAATCGTACCAACGAGGTAGTCGATCACAGGATCATCTACCTTGGAGAGCGAAGCGCCGAGCGCCTCCACAACAGCCTTTCTAGCCTTCTTCTCCGCCATTATCGCGTAATAATTCTATCGAAGAAGATTGAGTTCGCCTGTTTCTTCTTGTGGAAGGAAGGATGCTCGCCGGGAAGCAGAACTACTCGTCCAATGTGTTGATCCTTCAAGGACGCACCTCAATCCTCTTCAATCTCTTCTGTCGCGGAGCTTCGCTAAAGAAAATAAAGATTGCTTTCAACGCATTCCATCCATGAGTATTTTAAATGCGTCAAATGTTTCCATTCTTAGCGCCGGACCGCCTGGAGTAGGTAGAAATGTGAAATATTTGGTGGTGTGCTGTGAAATTCCAGAGCGGTGGCCGCAGAGAAGAATAGCAGAACCGAAAAATACTGCCTTCTTTTCTTTTGGCTTTGTTGTGTTGCATTCAATTCCAAACTCCATCGCAGCCTCGCATCTCAAGAATGGAAGCTACGTCGCCGGCAAACAAGAGGAAGAGAGGCGCGCAGAAGGCCGCCGCCAAGGTTAAAGCGACAATCGCCGCAGCCAAGAAGAAATCGGAAATCACCAACAAGCCTGCGGCACAGCAGGGCAAGGAAAAGGAGGCGCAGCAGCAAAAGACCAAGGATGTGGAGAAGGAGCAGAAGGAAGAGGAGGAGTTGTTGAATGAGGAGAGCCTTGAAGTCGCGAAGAAAGAGGATGCCGCACCGGCCGAACCTGTCAAGGATGTAACGTTCGCCGATTTGGGCGTCATTCCTGAGATTTGCGATTCCTGCACGATGCTGGGTTGGTCCAAGCCGTCCGAAATCCAGAAGGAGACCATCCCCCTCGCTATCCAGGGTAAGCTGGTTTGTTTTGTTGCGATTTCCGATTTTATAATTGCGATTTTTAATCTGTCATTATGCGATTCTCCAGGCAAGGACATCATCGGTCTGGCGCAAACAGGCAGTGGTAAGACTGGTGCCTTTGCCATTCCCATCCTCCAGGCTCTGCTGCAAAAACCCCAGCCCCTCTTTGCTGTGGTGCTCTCGCCCACCAGGTGCGTTTGATCCTTCAAGATTATACCTCTACACAACACTTGCTTATACATCCCTTCATCAATCTAAATTACCTCACGGTTTGTGCTTGCAACACAGAGAGTTGGCCATTCAGATCGCCGAGCAGTTTGAAGCTCTGGGCTCAGTCATTCGCGCCAGGTCTGTCGTTATCGTGGGAGGCGTTGACGTAATGGAGCAGTCCATCGCCCTGGCCAAGAAGGTACACCCGTTTAAACTCCACACGCGTACATAACAATCATCGACAGCACAACTCACATAGCACACACGCTCTCTGCCTCCAGCCCCACATCATCTGCGCGACGCCCGGTCGTCTCCTGTTCCATCTTCAAAACACCAAGGGCTTCTCGCTCAAGAGCCTCAAGTACCTCGTGCTCGACGAAGCCGACCGCCTGCTCAACATGGACTACGAGGAGGAAATCGATCAAATCTGGCCTGTCTGCCCAAGGTCCTTTCTATCCTCTGTGTGTGTGTGTGTGTGTGTGTCGTGTGTGTGTCGCGTGTGTGTGTGTGTCGCGTGTGTGTGTCGCGTGTGTGTGTTGTGTGTGTGTGTGGTGTGTGTGTGTGTGTTGTGTGGGTGTGTGTGGTGTCCTCGCACGTGGTGTGGGCTAACATTCTCGCTGTGTGCAATAGGAGCGCCACACGTATCTGTTCTCGGCAACGATGACCAGCAAGGTCAAGAAGCTCGAGCGCGCCTCGCTCGCGAATCCCGTCAAGATCTCCGTCTCCTCCAAGTATGGCCATCACCCACCCACCCACGAAAGCTCCATCCAGCGTGTGCCTAACCACAAAACAAACAATGACACCGACGCGTAGGTATTCGACTGTGGACACTCTTCTTCAAAACTACGTCTTTGTGCCGGAGAAGTTCAAGGACTGCTACTTGGTCTACCTCTTGAACGAATTCGTGGGCAACTCCATCATTGGTACGTGCCGAGCACACTCACGAGTTTTTTATATTTATTTAATACTGGACAAAGCGCTCACGTTCGCTCTTTCCCTTCTTTCTTTCTTTCTTTTCTCTATTTATTTATTTTAATGGTGGTCCAGTCTTCGTGGCCACGTGTAACACTGCGCAGCGAGTGGCGCTGATGCTGCGAAATCTGGGCTTCGAGGCTCTCCCGATTCACGGCAAGATGTCCCAGTCCAGGCGCATCGGCTCGCTCAACA